TTCCTCATCTCACGGTGTGCTTTCCCGGAGGCGTGACGGGCTCGTCACAGCGCACCCCCCACCCTGGAGCGGGAGCACCAGCAACGACATTGAAAGCCACCTGCTCTGGCCGTGACTTGCACATGCCAGCACGGTCTCCTGCGTGGACCCCTCCGGCCCCCCGTGGCCACTCTCTGAGCTCAGGCCTGTATTGGCACAATTTCCATCGGCCTGGACCTGCCTGCCCGCCCCCCCCAGTCCCACGCCCAGGCTCTGGCCCTCGTGTTCTGGGGGCTTCAGGGCAGGAGGGCATGTGGCCTCTCCTATCTGATCCATCGTCCCCAACCCATGCAGACAAAAAAAAAATCACGACAACCATGAACATGGACATGGCGACCAGGTTTCACCTGGACTCCAGGATGGGAGTTGTTCCGTCTTTGCCAAATGAACTAAATCTGATGTTTCAGACCCAAAACTGCCTCAAGCAAGGACACGGGCCTCTCCCTCACGGTCTGTTCTGGAAGATGCTGAGGAGGGTCCTTGACCCACACCCCTTCTTCCTCCTTGTTGCACCTCTCTCAGCCACAGCTGGGCACAAGCGTCTCCTCAGGCCACCTGACACGCAGCGTCAGACCCGGAGTGTGGCCGAATGCCAAGGTTGGGCCTGCCCTCTGCACTGACCCTCCTCCTGCTCCACGCTGTGCCAACGGCTTCCTGAGGGCCCCAGCTGAGGGCACTGCCACTGGGGTGGGCAGAAGCAGCCGGGGAAGGGAGACCCCCCCCCCCGCACACATCTCCATGGCAACCACACACACTGGCCGCCCAAGGAGCCGCGGAGAAAGGAGGGACTTTAACAAACCACACAAACGCCCCCACGCCGCACCCTGCATGCGTCCTTCTGGGACGAGCACCAAGGAGACCATTTGGCAGAGGGAAAAAGGATGCAGGGGAACAAAGACGTTCGGGCAGGGGGGCGGGCTCCATGTAACAACCGGCAAGCGCCACCCGAGCCACAGACCATAAAACGGTGGCACAAAGCAGTCGATTCCTCTGTGACCGCTCAGACCACCAGTCTGGAGGCTGCGGAAGTAAGGATGAGTTCGTGGCAGGTTTCATCAGAAAGGACAGAACGTCATTTATACGCCACGATCCCAGCTCTAAAAACTGCGCGTACGGGGCGCCTGGGTGGCTCAGTTGGTTGAGCGACTGCCTTCGGCTTAGGTCATGATCCCGGAGTCCCGGGATCGAGTCCCGCGTCGGGCTCCCTGCTCGGCGGGGGGTCTGCTTCTCCCTCTGCCCCTCTCCCCTCTCATGCCCTCTCTCAAATAATAAATAAAATCTTAAAAAATAAATAAATAAATAAACCCAATTCAAAAACTGTCTATGGGGCGCCTGGGTGGCTTAGTTGGTTGTGCGACTGACTTTGGCTCAGGTCATGATCCTGGAGTCCCGGGATCGAGTCCCGCATCGGGCTCCCTGCTCGGCAGGGAGTCTGCTTCTCCCTCTGACCCTCCTCCCTCTCATGCTGTCTCTCATTCTCTCTCTCGCAAATAAATAAAATCTTAAAACAAAAAAAACCTGCGTGTACATTTGGGCAAAACCTGGAAGGAAAAACGTACGAGTAAAAACATCTGTGCTGGAATCACATACTAGGACCCTGCCCCTGAACTTCCCTCTGTGGTCTGTCCTGTTGTTCCCACAGCTCAACGGAACGTTGTTGCTTCTTGCCAGGGGGCAGGGAAACACATGGGGCCCTGGAGAACTTGCACCATCCACGGAGGCATGGGTTTGTGTGAGGACTGGAACACCTTACGGTCCTCCCAGGACACAGGGTGTGGGAGGCTGCAGGGAAGCCTCCGGAAGAGCATCTCCCACTAGCCCCCGTGGCTCCCCCTGGGAGCTGTCCCAGGCCAGACGGTCTCATCGGATGAGGTGGGCTCTCTGCCTCCCCCCAGCACAGCACCACACCTCGGCACTGGCTGCTGGCGTCCCTGACTCCCACCGCAGCCTTCTAGACCTTTTTGTTTCAGTGTCCTCCTTTTCGGTGTGTGGGATAAGGACCCAGGGGAGCTGGGTGCCCCTTTGGCATGTCCTAGACAGGACCCCGACATTCTGTTTCCATAAAGCAACAGTAACATCCAAGGAGTGGGTGCGTACGTATAGAAATCTATTTCTGTGGTGGTGTAAGCTGGATCATTTTCATAACAAAATGGGAAAACAGAAAACACACACACCTACACGCTCACTAACAGATACACTCACCGACCAGAAAAACGGGGCTATGCAAAGCTAATCAGATCCAGGAGCCTTGGATTCTGGTGCTGGCCCCATCGCTAGGTCTTATCTTAAGAAATTCTCTTCCCCTCCTTGGGCCCCCATTTTTTTTCTTCTGCCAACAAAGGAGGGAACGGGCCCGGCCCCAGAAGTGCTGTCTGCACGGCGCCCGTGTTCACAGACACACTTGAGGACCTGCCGGACCAGGACATGGAGGGCCCAGGTGCCTCCTTCTGCTGAAGGGAGTTACAGGGCAGCAAGAAGTCAACGGAACAAAGGCACATTACTTCGAATGCCCAACAGAAGCTGCTCAGACAACTGCCTGCGTCTCCAACTGCCCCCGACAAGTGCAAAGGAAGCTGTGTGTTTACCCACAACAGGAGTGGTGCAGGCCCCTTGGGGAACAGGAATGTGCAGCACACACTTTCGAATGGAGTCTCTGTCCTCATTCCTACAGCAGCTTTTGTTCTAGGGCCTGGCCTGCCGGCACCCACGCCCCAGAGAGTGTGGTTCACAGTCTACGTGACAGCCATCGGGGCCTGCCGAATTCAAGACAAAGCCATTTCTTCCTGCTAGGAGAACAGGGAAGGCTTCCTGGAAGAGTCAGCCTTTGAGCTGGGCCCTAACGGCTGGACAGAACTCAAAGGTATGAAGTGAGCGGGGAGAGCAGATTCTAGGGGGCAGTGTGATCAGAGATATAGAGGCGGAAAAGAGAGTTCAGTTTGTGACAAATTATAGGAAGCATTACGACAGAAAGCAAAACACAAGGGCTTAGATGCTAGACCAAGAAAACCCCCAACCAGCTGTGTTTTCCTTAAGTGCCTGTGTTTGTCATCATTTGAAGATAAATTCAACCCATTATGGAACTGATAGTTAGTCATGCGCTGACGGACTCACCGGTACTCCCCCCACCCCTGAAAAACTTTCTTAGTTCAAGTGGCAATTGCTCGAGATGAAAACCAGCTTCTACATAATATTTTCTTTTTCCCTGGAAAACAGCAGATATTGAGAAACAGTTGCTGGAGCCAAGAAGGAAAGATAATTTCCTAGAAAGAAGAAGGATCACAACTCTTGCACAGTTAAGACTCAGACAACATGGTCAAAGATGTAACATCACTCATCAAGCTAAGGCGGGAACCAGTAAGACATTACCACGGGGATAGTGCAAAGAGCCCCAGCTGTGAAGGCGCTGGAAGTGCCGAAATAAGTTCACTTTTAGTTGAAGCAAAAGCAGTCTCCCCAGGGCCGCAGGCAGCTGCATCACCAGTAGGCACAGTGTGCACTGTTAGGGACGAGCATCGTGTACGGTCTGCTGTCAGGATGGTAAAACCCACATGGCTCAGAGACAAGGAGAAGCCAGGGGCCCGGAGAAACCGAACCCCAGACAACGCCAACATGTCCACTGAGGATGCTCAGCAGACTTTTGACCCATTTCAAAGGCTTTCACAATTTTCCCTACAGAGGTGAATAACGATCGGCGCACCAGCCATCAACTCTCGGACACGCGTTTATGGGAAATCGCAGTGAGGACGGAAGGAGGAGGTTTTGAACCCGGGCATAGGCCTGGCAGTCACTGCTGGGCAGGCTGGGGGGCAGCTCCATGCCCACCTCGTTACTTTTACCCTGGGAATCAGGAGGCTCCCGGCTGTGCCACAAAAGAGCGGAAAGCAAATCTCTCCCTCCTCCTTTCTCCAGAGGCGTCTACACTGAAGGGCTTGGCACTGAGCCAGGAGCTCAGGCCTGGAGTCACTTGAGGAGATATGAACAGTACTCTTGCCCACTCTAGAAATTCCACCCCTAGAGCTTCCGATTCTGCTGGTCGGGGTGGGACTGGGGCATCGCGGGCTCTTATAATAATCTCTGAGGGGATTCTAATGAACGGCCAGGATCGAGAACCCTGGGGCCAGATAACAAGACCCCCTTGTCCCTGATGACACTCTGGCTTTGTTGTAATGTTTCCTTTGAATCAATAGCTGCGAGCCTCAATCTAGAACCGCAGAAATCAGCAGGACATTCTCTTAAAAAAGCTCCTCGAAATTAATCTCTGGTAGAGACCACAAGCCAAGCTCAATTCCCGACTCGGTCAGACTCGGCAAACATCCGGCAACGCGTTAGAATCTTCCACGGTGGTTGCCGTCAATTCAACGAGCAGTTTGCAGGGCTGGGCACAGGCTGAGCTCAGGCTCCTAATCTGCTGCTTCAGTTACTGTGCGTGTACAGGATAGAGATGCCCGCTGAGCATGCTCACAGGCCCGGACAGCTCTGTGGTGTGCACACACGGGCATTCATGCACACACTCACACTTCACACGCACAGAGCAGCCTCCAAATCAGAGCGGGGTCACAGAGTGATAACAGGGCCCCCGTTAGTAACGTTGGGTTGGCTGGTCCCACGGTGGGGGAGGTAACTGACAATAGGGCAGATGGTGGTGAATCCCAATGCTCTCTCCCCCACAACCCTGCTGAGACCTCGGATATGCATTAACAAACCTGATGTTATTACAGTTTGCTTTGAACCCACTCAACTCATTACCAAGGTCGGCCCCAGACAATCACTGGTACTCTGGTCAGTCCCCTTCCTCTGACGGGCCCTGTGCTGCGACTCTAAAGAACACGGACCTGCCCTGCTGTGGGACCACGGGAGGCCTGGGTCAAGTGTCTCCAGGAAGGATGCTCTTCCCTGTCCTCCCTTTCTCGGTCCCCATGTTCCTAGGACCCCCCCCCCACCGAGCCTCCACATACACTTACCACAAGCCGCACAGGTGAAGCAGGCGTCATGGTAGAGATTCCCCATGGCCTGGCAGGCCTGGCCGGCCCCAAACACCCCTTTGCTGCATTTCACACAGGCTCCTGAAAGGCAAGAACATGCCAGTGAGTCATAAAAAAGCCAGTGAACAAAGTGAGATGCCTATCCCTCCCCATAACTGGCCCATCACCAAATCCTGTGGATTACTCCTTTGAGATCTCTCTCTCTCTCTCCACCAGGCCGGTCTTCAGCCACCCCCCCGCCACCGCTGTCCTCCACACGAGCATGATATTCAGAAAATCTCTGCCTTGTCAGCCTCCTTCCCAGCCCAAAGCCTTTCAAAGGCTCCCACCGTTTATCAGACGACGTTCAAAAAACTGCCCCGTGATTCCAATATGCCAAGCACGCAGGTCGGGCAATTTCAACACTGTTTCCTCCAATTCTCGATGGGAACCAATTGGGTTGACTATCCTCACTTTTTGCAAAAGTATCAGGCCCCCAGCCCCAGGTCTGTCAGACCGCAAAGACAGTGTTCTTCCCTGCCCCTCACCTCCACACAAGCCCCGCTGGTGCCCGGCTCTTAGCCTTTGCTCACGGGCTCCCCAGCCGGGCACCCTACACCCACCCTTTGTCCCTTCAAGTCCCCAGGCCTCCCTCCCGCTCCGCTCTCCAGCTCTGAAGACAACATGATGGAACAGGCTCTAATCTTTAGCCTCCCACCCACCCGCTTCCCACGTGGTGTGAGTTAACCTGGTAACTTCTCTGAGCATCAGTTCTCAATTCAGAAAAAGAGGTTCATTCCACCTGCCCTGCGTGTTCCCAGGAGCGGCCGTAAAGGGTGCTCAGCAAACCACCAACTTCCAGAATTGGTCGCCTCCGCCCCAAACTGCCGATCGGAGGGCCCGCTCTTGAACTAGAACGCCACAATCTGCTGGCTGTGTGACTAGGGCAGATCATGGGAACTCCCTGCTGTCCGCTTCACTCGTAAGCGCTCAATGAGCAGGCATACACGGACACGGATGCAATGGTGCCTGCTACATTTGGCTAGAAGATGCTTCCACTGGGCTCCCGAAGAAGTTCGGGCCCTCCCAGCATCGGACCCTGTGAGTAAGCCGGAAGTCCCTCTGTCCAGACCAACCCAGAATCTCTGCGGCAGTGAACCAGGCTCTGGGCCAGTCCACAGGAGGGAGGGCCTTGGGGCCTCCCTCCCAAAGAACTCCTCCATTAGCCTCAAATGAAAAACATCACTATTATAGAAACGATGCATGAGATTTAAAAAAAAAAATTCAGGGAGTAAATACACCAAAATATAGAGTGGTTTCTTGAGGTTATAAAATTATGGTTGGTTTTACTTCTTTGCCTTTTCTCTGTTAAAAAAACAATTCTTACAAGAGCAGGCGTTACTTTATAGCTGAAAAAAAAGTCTAGTGTCAAAAAAGCGTCTGAATATGTTTAAATATATTGTATAATGCTAAGATTTTTGAACACACACACCCTAGCTCCCCCCCAGCGTCCAGCGGGTAAACCAGCTTGCGTTCTTGGTCAGAGGGGGCTCAGGCACCCTCTTCTAACTCTGGTTCCCATGGGTCAGGCTGTTCTCAGGCTGCGAATCCCCAGCCTTCTGCCTACAGGGTAGGAAGCCCTGTGTTTCAGAGTTCTATCGATTCAAGGTGGTGGACTGAATCACCCTCAAGGAGGTCCAAGCTAACACCTGGTTTGTGAAATGCACCCACACTGACCACACCAGCCTCGCAGAGAGCACACAAAGCCAAGGGCCCTCAATTCGCTTCACCAACACTCCCTGGGAAAGTAGGTGAGGCCGTCTGTAGGAAGAGTAGGGTGTCAGCCAGGAAACCTAGCTGTCTCGGGAATTCGTTTATGGAAAGCTCTAGAGAACCAAAGTAGTAGTTATTGCAGTTCTTCTGATTCAGCATTTTATTACGAAATGTTCAAACAAGAAGAGAGGTTGAAAGAATCACATAGGAGAAACACCCATATTCCCCCCACCCCCATTCTACAATCGTGAACATTCTGCTGTCAATCAATCCAACAACCCATCTTAGTTTTGATGCATTTTAAAGCAAGGTGCAGACAGCAGTCCACCTCATCCCTAAGCACGTCAGCCTGTAAATCAGTAAGAGTTCATGATTTGCTTATAGTTATTTTTTCCAAGATAAAAATCCATAAACAGTGAAATGCACAAACGATAAGTCTACCATCCAAAGAGTTTTGACAGATGACCTACATAATGCAAACCCCAAGCAAGATACGGAGCATTTCCAGCACCCTAGAAAATTCCCCAGAGCCCTTCCCTTCTATCTTCAGCACATGTGATAATGAAGAAAAGGGCTCTCTCCCAAAACATCAACTCTCAGGAACTGGCAAGGTATTAATCATACCATTCTGAGATCCACTTCCAAACCACCCATCCCAAGTCCCCTTACTGACCTGACTCCAGATCCTACAACATGCAACAAAGGCTGCTTTCTTCAGGCAGCAACTGGAGTACAAAGGAGACCATCCCTAGACTGGATGGGACGTCAAAGCAACACGGCTCTAACTCTGCTCACGAACCACCCCCGAGGCAACATCACCCTTTCCCTGTTGATCACGGTGGCCTCTTGGCTTAACCCACTGTCGCGATGTTAGCTGCAGACAGCGGAGGAGCTGGGAGACCCCGTGGTATGGGCAGCCCTTCCTCCTGTCCACAGGGCGGGTGTGGGACGAGGGCTGGCCTTCCAGATGGGCACCAAAGAGGAAAGGCGAGGTTCATCTCCTGAGTCCCTGGGATGCTGCCGACTCACGATGAGGACGTGGGCTCCCCTGGTTTGGGTCCGGGGAATAAAGTCAGACCCCTCTGCCGTTTCCCGCTCGGAAAGCATCACCAAGTGGCCAAGGACAAGTGCATGGGCCTCTCGGGGCTTCCTGCGACTTTCCCGCCACACGCACACCAGGCCTTCCATGCCCGCCGTGGCCTGCCCAGCAAAGCTCTCCTCTGGTTTCCTCTCCACCTGAGGGCTCTGACCTCCCCCTGCCTGACTCGGACTCCTGCTGCAGCCCACGTCCTCTGACCGCCCAGCAGGGGAAAAAGCGAGGAAGGAAGCTGCTTGTGCTCCCAGCCGTCGGTCACGGAGTGAGGAAGGGCCCGTGAGGAGCCAAGTAGGTGGGGAAGTATTTCATCCTTGGGCCTTGTGGTACATGGATAGAAAAGTACTTCATGGGCAGGAAATAGGTCTAGTCTTCCTTTGGTAGGAAAAAAGAAAAAAAAGGAAATTTAATATTCTAAGGAATAATGCACCTACCCGACCCCGCGCCGGGAGTTTCCATCCAGCAAAGGATCTGCTGTCACCCCGTTCTCAGACCCAAGTTCTCGAAAGGCACTGTAACTTGCCGAAGGGCACACGGCTGGTAGGTCTGCGAGATGGAATTCGAGCCCAGGTTCTAACCCAAAGGACCCGTTATCCCTGTCGGGTTGGCAACTGTGGCGGTTCCTGCCACACTCAGAGGGTGTCCTTCCTCACGTTCAACACACCACCTGCTCAGGGATTCGGACCCAAGCCCAGCCCTGCCCCAGAGCTCCCACTGACCGCCCTGGCCTACCTCCCATTCTGCCCTATCCCCGGGACACAGCTGTGTTCCCACCTGGGACCCCAACCACGGCCCCTCCTGCCCTCCTGGAGGGACACCCACCCCACAGTGGCTTCTCTGTCACTGGCTCAGAACCAGGCTCCCTCTAGATGCTGGCCATGGGACGGGAAGCAAGGTGACTGCCCTCGGGTAATGGTCAGCCAAGGACGCAGGAACCTGGAATCTGCCACCTCTGATAGGAGAGCTGACCGATCTCACCTGCGGTCCTGCACTGAGTTCACTAAGTGCCCAGGGCTGGGGATGGACTTCGGCTTATGAAATAAGAAGAAACATATACATTGGCCTCTGTCCCCAGTTCCTTCCAATATTTGGTCTTTGACCCCAGTTCCTGACACAATCCCTTGGAATTTCCTGGTGATAGGAACGTCCCGGATGGGGGCTGGTCACTAGGAAGACCAAGCCATGATTCGAAGCTTGGAACTTTCGCCCCCACCCCCATCCTTCAGAGCAGAGAGAGGGGCTGGAAAAGAAGTTAATGATCCATCATGCCTACATGAAGCTGCCATAAAAATCCCCCAAGCACAGGGTTCAGAGAGCTTCTGGGTTGGTGCATGCATCCACGTACCGGGAGGGCGGCACCCCCCAACTCCACAGGGCAGAAGCTCCTGTGCTCACGACCCTCCCAGACCTCGCCCTATGCAGCCCTTCATCCAGCTGTTCTTCTTTATCCTTTAGCACACGCTTTATTATAAAATAAGATGGTAGATGTGTGTCCCTGAGGTCCATGAGCTGTCCATGAGGGGACCGTGGGGACTCTGACTTACAGGCGGCCGGTCAGAAGCGCAGGTGACCACCTGGACTTGTGATGGCAGCTGATGTGAGGGCAGTCTTGTGGACTGAGCCCTTGGTCTATGGGGGCTATGCTACCCACAGGTAGAGAGTGTCAGAACTGAATGGAACCTTGGGACAGCCCGCTGGTGTCAGAGAGGTGGTGGGTGTGGGAAAGCCCCCACATCTGGTGTGGGCCCACTGTGAGTGTGAGCTGTAGCAGGTACAGAGAAGAGACAGAAGTGGGTCCTTGCAAGGCAGGGCTCAGCAAGGAGAAAAGGTTACTCGACCCCTCTGCTTTCACGTGGCCCCTTAGCTATAGTATTTTAGAGAAACGTCTAACAGAGGAAAAAGAAGGAAAATGTCATCACATGTTACTCTAATCATCTGAGCTCATAAACCAGGAAAAACATGAGGGAAAGAAGGAATTACATGTTTAGAGAAAGGGATATGCATTTCTCCCCCTTGCAGTTAGACCTACTGCCTAAAATCCATTCTCCAAACCGTAGCCAGCATGACTCTTGGACAACAGCTTTAAGGAGAGAGAAGTTACATATAATAAATGTCACACATTTAAACTGCACAATTTGGGGACACCTGGGTGGCTCAGTCAATTAAGCGTCTGCCTTTGGCTCAGGTCATGATCCCAGGGTCCTAGGATGGAGTCCTACATCGGGCTCCCTGCTCG